CACTGAACTTCTGGAGTGAGTTTGCTGCACTGAAAGTAAAGGGGCCGAATAATATTGCACGCCCCACTTTTCAGTTTTTTATTTGTTAAAAAAGTTTGACACATCCAATAAATGTCCTTCCACTTCACTTCACTTCACTTCACTTCACTTATTGTTGATTCTTCACAAAAATTAGGATTTTATATCTTTATGTTTGGAGCCTGAAATGTGGCAAGAGGTTGACCGATTCAAGGGGGCCGAGTACTTTCACAAGGCACTGTATATATTTTAGATATGTGAAAATGATATTAATGAAATGCAGCAGACTAAATAATAAAAAATAATAAATCCATTCAGAAATATCACATATTATGTCTTACATACCTGAAAACACCATTTATTTTACCTTTGAAACACATAAGACAAAAAAAATATATATATATCCAAAGGTTTAAATATATGTGTGAATGTGTATGAAAACACCCTATATTTAATGTTTGAAATAAAAAAATACAAAACAAAAAACGTTCTAAATGCCTGCGTTGCGTTTCATGTCAACAAAAACATCACATGTACAGTTTGAAATGCATAAAAGACTAAAGTAAAAATAACAAAAAATTACATGCATTTAAAAAATATGCCTAAGAATATATTTCATGTATACAAACATCAAATATTTGCTATTTACAAATATATAAAAAATTTATGAAAAATTTAATGAGTTGAAAATTTTTAAAAAGAATTAAAAGGAACTGTTTTTCTTTCTGTACCAGATTTAAAACAAGGGCTGATGTTATCGATCACTAATCCATATTTACTTATGAAGTAAAGCATTATATAGCTGTAGTCACCCTTGTTTTATTGTCTTCAGCCGCCGCTTTGACACTGTTGCACAACCTCGCTGGAGCAGATCCAAAGATCAAAGTATCTCTTGTTAATGAACATCACAATATTTCACACCTGGGATCAGAACACGACAGGCCCAATAAAGCCTGGTTGATAGATAAGAGGAACAAATAAAAAAAGGACCTGGAAACCTGTGAACTTTGATACTAAGGGTAAGAGCAGGTGCAACAGCTAATTTAAACATCAAGGTACCTTTTTTGGCAGCGCATTAAACAACACATTTCCTGCACAGATGAGGTCTGCTGGTCCATTTAAAGTGAAAATGGCTGTGCACATGATCAAATTTCTCCTCCTTGATGATGTCGAAGAGGAGGCTGCTTGATTTTTAAACCTGTTGCACCTGCTACCTTTGCCCTCAAGCCTACAGATGGATTTTTATAAAACCTTCTACAGAGGTGCAGATGGGAAGTGCCTCTGGATGAAGCAAGATTAATAAAATTTTTTTAATTCAAGTGATTAGTCTGCTGTGTATATATTATTTTGCAGTATTAGTCATGAAGTTGGTTGGTCCAAGTCATCACTAGGAGCCTTCTACTGTTCAGGGTGAAAATTAATTACTATTGTAGTAGAAATATTGCTTCAAACGCAGCATCACTGGAAAAATACATAAAACACAATTACAACAAAATGTAGGTCTCAATTGGAAAGGCTTTATAAGCCTTATGGTAGCAAAATATCATAAATTGTTGAAAATTCACAAAAAACTGCTTAGAATTTTACCTTGACTCAATTGGCTATATTTGGATTGAGGAATAAAGAGTCCTTAGTTCAGCCATGCTTTACAGTAGAAATACCAATCAAGGTTTAAACACATCACAGAAAGTTGGATCTTACCAGTCTGAATTGGCATTTGGATACCTCTTATAGTTTTTGCACAATCCCAGTTTAAGATTTTTGGGGTGTTACAACAGAATAGTTAATTCAGAATTGGAAGATGTCATGCACTGTAATTTTTGGCCCTTTGAAATATTCGGAAATGTTTTGTTTTCAACTACTTTCCTGCATATAGTTTCATGTCCACATGTAAAATTTCTACATCTATTCGTAGGGATTTTTGTCTACTTTCACCCGGTGTATTTCCCACTCCAGTCAGACCTTTTGTTTTTTGCCAGATTCCCTTAGAGTCCTGTGTGCAACTCACTCAAAATTAAATCAATTAATATATTTTAACTCAGACCTTTTCTTTCAGAGTTTAAATTTAAAGGTTTCCCAAACCTAATGTGTCTCCTTTACAAAATAGTGCTGATACATACAGAAATACATACATATGACCACTTGAAGGATTTACATCTCATAGTTTAAGTTTTTGTTTTATGTGACTTTTAGTTTTCATGTAGTTTCTGTGGCTTACATTATTCCCTGTTTTTCTGTTTGCCTGCCAAACAAAAAGACGGCGGGAACTACCATAGCAACCAGTGACTGACACTTTATGAGTCTGTTTCTTTTTTTTATGCATAAATTTCCAAGTATGTTCAAAGTTCTACATGGGTTTAAGGATACAGGCGTGAGAAGCTAAAGCATTTTAGATTTTCTGGATAAAGTTACATTGACATATTCATTTTCTCGACAAGGCAGTTTAGGACCTATGTCGCAGGATTTGGTTTAGCATTGTCTTGTTGAAATAAATGGAGCCTTCATTAAAAAATATGACATTAGAATGTCAGAAAACATTGCTAGAAATCTTTTCAGAGTTACAGATGCACCTTCATGCTGTCAGTGACTGATTTTTTTAACTGTGCTAATAACAAGCTGGCCAGTTAGTGCTTTTTGGGATTACCAAAACATTAAAGAATTTCAGATAACAAGACCAGCTAATATCTGAAATGCTTTGTTACTTAATAAATAAATTTCCTACAATGACCCAGAAGTATGTAAGTAGCAGCTGTAACCAGATAAGGTTAAGTAACCTAAAATATGTTACTTGACTTTATAAAACACTAAATGGATAGCTTTTTTCCTGTAATTCTTCACAGATTTTTCTGAAATATAAAGTCAAGATTGTGAATGTGAGACAAGGCAAAGTTTTAGGCTTTCTCTTAATATCTTTCAACAACTGACCTATTAAAAAAGTTATATTTCTTTATTCAATTTAAAAAATACTTTATTAATTCCAACGGGAAATAAAATGTTATAGCTCATACTATGCAGGTTTCTTCAAAGAGACGTTGGAGATACTGATTGCTGTGAGCAGGAAGGATCTCCTGTAGAGGTCTGTCTTACAGCAGATCTGAAGTAGCCTCTGACTGAAGACACTGTTGTTGTAGGACAGTCTCATGAAGAGGATGCTCAGGGTTCTACATAATGTTCTTCATTTTAGGTACAATCCTTCATTGCACAAAGAATAAGAAACCCTTAATAAAACTTGTTAAAATATTTTCAATCCCCATTTCAGTTCTTCTGCACATATGATGCCAAACCCAATTAAAAGTTCAGGAAAAGACAACAGGACGTATTTTTTTTCCCAGAACTTGTGTTTATGGGTTCATTCAAAATGTTTTCAGATGTCTTTTTTAGGTCCCAGCGCAGAGTAATTTCTGTAAATGTTCCTTGATTTTGTTCCGCATCATTAATGATATGCTGTTTGTCGCCAGCCGGATGAATGATGATCTTGATGAGTGAACAGTTTGCCCGTACAGGGTTTCACTGATTGGTGTCCTTTTATAACATGATGTGACAGGCTTGTTACCAATTAAGCTAATTAGCTATGAGATGTTCTTCTAGTTTAAGCATTGTTGGCAGGACACATCCTAGAACATGTCCAGTCTTTTGCTTTCAAAATCGCAGCTTATTTTAAAATATGTTGTTGACATCAAATTTAAGATTATGCTTGTATTGTTTAAGTTTAGTTTTATCATGTATCTTGTGTAAAGGCTGCTATGGGGAATATAATGCTAACCATTTTCACTGTGCTAAATGCTCCATCCAGCCATTTTCTATACCTACTTCTTCTGTACAGGGTTCCAGAGGAGCTGCTGCCTATCTCCAGTGGTCTTTGGGGAAGAGGCAGGGTACACCCTGGACAGGCCACCAGTTCACATCACAGGGTAACACAGAGACCCACAGGACAAACAATCATGCACACACCCACTCACACCTCAGGGCAATTGAGAGAGACCAATTAACCTAACAGTCATGTTTTTGGGCAGTGGGAGGAAGCCGGAGTACCCGGAGAGAACCCACGCATGCATGGGGAGAACATGTAGAAAGAACCCTGGCCGGGGGTTGAACCCAGGACTTTCTTGCTACAAGGCAACAGTGCTACCAACTGCACCACCGTGCTGCACCACCCGCTAAATGATGCAATGAAAAAAACAAAGGTTGTTGCAATTTCATTTTCTATCATATTGCATCGCATAGGACTGAAACAGTCAATACTGACTAGAACTTCCCAGTATTAATCTCGACGATGAGCAGTTTCTTCAGGCTAGTGAACAGGCAGGCACAACTAATCAGCCAATTTGCTGTTTGCAAATTGTAGAAAAGTAACTCTATTTTATCTTCTTGAGCTTTCGACCTTGTTGAAAAATCTACAGTCAAAAATATAAATCCTCAGCTCCTTATTGGAATAATTTATGTTGGTTCACCACAGGAAGGCTGCTTAAATTACACTGTACAGAAAATTAATGAATAATTTATGAAAAATCACCCACGTCTAACAGTAACACAAATATTTCCCGTGACACAACTGCAATTAATTTTATACAGAACTATGGTGGAATAATATATTTTTGTCTAAGTTTGTGTAGGCATTGTACCCAAGCATACAACACATCCACAGGTGTGCCTCTGTTTAACTCAGCTGTTGAGAATTAACCTATCAGAAGCTTACAAAGCTGTGACATCATCATCTGGGCTTTCCCAAATTGCTTAAAGTTATTATAGTCCTACTGTATGTAAACTTGTGACTTTTTCTCTCTTATTATTCTGGTGTTTAACTGACCTAAAAGGGATTGGCATCGGCCTTCGAACAGGCCTAGAAATCTGTGACTGGTCCGTTTCCACTATTATAGTCCAATATTAGAGCACGTTACAATGTCACTGCACCCTGGACAGGTCGCCAGTCCATCGCAGGGCATGTTACAACGTTTTACAAGGATTTGCTTGTACTCCGTTGAAATTCAGAGTTTTAAATTATCTTCAAATTACAGTGTAGCAATCTGATTCATGCTCTGGACAGCTGCAATGTAGCTCAGCAGTACTGGTAGTTTCTACATATGTAAATAACCTATATACCTTCTCTTTCTGTGAAAGCACTCAGAGAAAGAAAATAGATTTTAAGGCTCAGAGTTAGAGTCTATGTGTGCATGAAGATCAAGGCCACTTGTAGGAGAATGTAGACTTTGTCCAGTTGCCCCCTCCCTCAAAGTGCTCCACCCCCGGTTAACTCTCACACACACAAACAGGTTTGGCTATTGATTCAACAACAGTATGTTAAGCTGCAACTGAAGCCATTTGTGGCTGGTTTGAACTAAACTATGTTTTCTCTTAGTATCAGTCTTTGAGATAAGTCTAAGATTAACTTCTTTTGGCAGCCATATCTGCCTCGCACACACACACACACACACATACACACACACACACACACTCACACTCACAAAGAGACACATATGAATATGAGTGCCAGCCCAGAGCCATCTGCACTGGCAGAGCTATCTGTCATCAGTCTAACCCATCTAACTCCCAGCCACTCCCTGAGCACACTGTACAGATGGGGCTGTGTGTGTGTGTGTGCGCGCGTGTGTGCATTGAATGGAGACACTACACCACAGAAGAAGGATGACCCCCCTTTTACAAATAAGCTGTCAGGGAGCCAGACGGCACAAAAGCGGAGAGTCTCAAGGTGTGAAGGAGAGGAGACTTTCTGGTGTTTCATGTAGTGTCTGGGATGATGAATGACTATAAGCACCAGTATTGTAGCGGCACAGAGCTGCTCCATCAGAGCACTATCTGTTACGGATACCAGCCTGCTGACATAAGTATAAAAAGCAGAACGCTCAGGTTTTTCCTGCAGAATAAGCACATAAATCACATTGAGCACGACGTCAGTGTAATCAATAAGCATTTATTATGACCAGTAAATCTCTGTCTAAATCATAATAGGAAAAAAAACTGATAGTGCTTTTATAATGTGCAACTTGCCATATGCCACGAAAAAACATAAAGTCGGTCCTCAACAGGCAATCGCTTTCTTCCCACATATTTTTGTTCATTTAACTAATTTAAAACAGATTAACAAATAAGATAAATCAATTCATTATTGTGCTTCTAAAACAAAACCATTTACTTTAATAAACTGTTTACTGCAAGCTGATCCAGACGTTGCCAGATCCTTTTAATCAGGCCATTAATTTTCAAAAGACACACTGAAGAAAAAAGTTATTTCTTCATGCTTTTTTTCCAGACTAGTGGTGATAATAAGTAGCTTTGGTAGTGTACTGGCAAAGCTGATCTGTAACTTTTAGAGCTAGACACAGACTCGTCTGGTCAACCTGTTCCCATGAAACACTAAACAGTGTAATCTTTTCATCCAGTGCCCCAAATAAAAACACAAACATGAAGCATGCATTTAAAATGTTTTTAAAAACTTTGTTTTTTTTATGGAAAAATGCTTAAACACTAATTACAGGAGTACAGCTTTTTTTTGCCCCAAGGTTTAAAAAGGTGAAACATCACATTTTATAAAGAATGGTCAAGCAACAAAAAGAACCAAACAAGTGCTGGAAGGGGCAACCTTGCAACTCATTAACTGTCCTTATGAATGGCTAGTACCTAATACAGCAATAACTGGTGGGTTGAAGTGTTTGGGACAACGTAAAGCGCCTTGAAAAAGTATTCACACCACTGTTTTTCAATCCACAATGAGCTTACATTTTATGGTGGCTTTTATGTGACAGACTAACACCAAGTATTGCATAGATAAGTTTTAAACATTTTTACAAGTAAAAATCAGAAAAATTATTCATTGCATTAAAATTACACTCTTAATAATTGCTAAATATAATGGGTGAACAAACAGCAGTCAGGGATAAAGTTGCGGAGAAGTGTAAAGCAGGGTTAGCTTATGGAAGAATATCTCAAGCTTTAAACATCTCCAGGAGCAATGTTCAATCCACCATCTGAAAGAGTATGATAGGGCAGCACAATACATCAGGAATATATTGCCATTATAAAATCAGTTTCTGCAATATCAGGATTGCAAAGCATTGTGTTAATTTAAACAACTGTTTGCTCATATATTCCAAGTGAGTTCAAACTTTGCATGTCAATAAGATATTCAGCATATATCCTAATGTAGTAGATACCTGTACCTGACACAGATCACAGTACCCAAGATCGTAAAGGTGACTGAATGCTGGAAACATGGCTATAAAGGAAAAGATTAATTTATCGTAAATTAAATCGTGATGGCAAGTTTTTTCCAACAATATGGACAACGCATCACTTCATAATATTGGGCAGCCCTTGAGTTTAGCAGACTTCCCAAGTCATGGCTGTCCACATAAACTGGCAGGCTGAATAAGGAGTATAAATCAGAGAAGGAACCTAAGAGGACCATGGTAACTCTGGAGGAGCTGCAGAGATCCACTGCTCAGGTGGAGGAATCTGTCTACACATTAGCTAGTCGTCGTGCAGTCCACAAATCTGGTCTTTAAGAAAGAGAGTTAAGAACAAAGCAATATAAAGTTCTTCTTAAAGTTTGCCACAAGCCATGTAGGGGACCCAGTAAACATGTAGAGGAAGGTTCTCTGGAAAGATAACACCAAAATGTAACTTTATGTCCTACGTGCAATGTGTGGTCGAAAACGAACACTGCACATCAGCCTAAAGACAGCATCCCCCCAGTGAAATGTGGTGGTGGCAGCACCATGCTCCTCACCTTCAGCAGGAGGGAGGTTCACCTTCCAGCAGGACAATGATCTTAAACAAACAGCCAAAACTACAATGGAAAGGTTTACATCAATGCCTATTCATGTGTTAGAATGGCACATTCAAAGTCCAGAGCTAAATCTAATTGATCATTTGTACCAACACTGTTTTATGTTTAATTTTTTTTTTTCAAAAGGTGTTTTTACAAATGTAAGCCATACTTCTAAGATTTGTATTTTAAAAGATTTTACTGTTGCGAACTCACCTCAAACACCACACAGCCAAAGTAGGCTGTTTATACCACTAATGCCTGTTAAAGAATATTAAACACATACTAAAGATGATGTTGAAAGCATGTTGTCGCCATCTAGTGGTTTATATCTATTGCGCATGCTTCATTCAACCTAAGAATCCCAATAATAATAATAATTTATTTATTTTGGTAGATAGATAGATAGATAGATAGATAGATAGATAGATAGATAGATAGATAGATAGATAGATAGATAGATAGATAGATAGATAGATAGATAGATAGATAGATAGATAGATAGATAGATAGATAGATAGATGTAAATAAATTAAAGCATGCATCATTTCCCATCCACCTCATGGATATGCACTAATTCCTGTTGGTCAATAGAGTAAAATCCCATTAAAATACTTTGATATTTGTGATTGGAACATGAAAAAATGTAGGCAAGCTCAAGGAGTATGAGCTCTCTGTTGAGACTCTGATGTATAATGAAACAAATGAGACTCATATAGCTAACTATGTGCTGAAATGACTGCTGTGTGTATCATCCTGAAGATCTGTGTTTGTCAGTCACATGACTTGAGGTGACAGGTGTCATTGACCTAGGGGATAACTTCCACAAATGCAACAAAGAAGACCATAGCTTCGCAAAATGAGGCTGAAATGAAGCTCCACATATAATTATCACCTCACACATGCACTCTCTCCAGGGGTCAGATGATCCAAACATATAGAACATACCTTGGCATGGAAAGTCGGTATTCTGGTGAGCAGCAGGAACTGAAACATTCCTAGAATAACTTGAATCATAATCCCCATCGTGCAGGAGTCCGAAGGCGCACCTTCAAAAGTATTTTTGGCTCAATCCAAAACAGAGGAAAAAAAAAAAGAGAAGGTGGCTTATGTTGGTTTTCTTCGCCGGTTACAGACGCAGATGTCCCGCTTTCATTCCCCAGTCTCCCGTCCCTGAAAGCGCTCCCAGGGTGGCATCATCATTGTTGGAATATTAACTTTGCTTTCTTGCATTTAGGTTTAAATTAGAGCAGAAACATACCCAGGATCCGTTTCCAGCCCAAATCCAGCCTAAAGTAAGTTCAGCGCAGACGGAGTGTGCCTCTCTCTGTGTTTTTAATGTATAACCTTGGGAGCACAGCGGC